AAACCAGCATCCCAGCGTCAAAACATACCTAACCAGCATGTGCTGGTTTTTTCAACAGGGAGCTCCCGCGTCTCTTGTTGGTTTCATCAGAATATTAATATTTGATCTTTAATCACATAAAAGATGCAGAAACAAACAAAATACAGAGACTGCTCACTCGCACTGAATAAAAGACAAGAGTCTCTGCTGAATTTCACAGTTTTATTCTTCATGAAAAATGCAGCTGTCTTTGAATGTTTTGTTCTCACAAATGTGCATCTTCACAGTTTGAAATGTTTCCCACCACACTTCTGTTTTTCAAGTATTATTGTCAAAGCTATAAAACGGCCAAAAATCCCATCATTCCTTCTGAAAAGGGAAAAAAATAAGTCTGACGCCACACACACACACACTTGCAGTAGCTATAAACATGTTGTGTGGCTAATGGAGCTGGAGGAACTCAATGTTACTATTTCATATCAAAACCAAATGATTGGAGGATTTATTGTGGATTTACTGTCTGTCAGGTGTCATATTGTGTCTCATCTGGTCAGTATTTCAAGCCAAACAGCAGGAATCGTGTGAGAATGAGGAGTCTTGACATGAACACGAGCGTTTAATAGTGACTGTATTTGATCTGATAATGGATAAAAGTCTGTTGGAAGTACAAATCTCAGAAATCTGAAATCGAATTCTTCAGTCATTGTGTCAGTGTTGCCAACTGCTTTCAATTGAAAGTAGCTAAAACTGGTAGCTAAATGTCACTAGATGACATCACAATGGCAAATTCACTGATCTATATAAAGATGAACGTAGATCAGTGGGCAAGATGAGAACTTAGATAAGGTTTGTCCAAGAAGTTGCTATATTTGTTCCTAAACTTTTGAAAAAAGTCTCAAAATGGGCGGGGAAGTCGCTAAATCTAGCTACAAAGTAGCTAAACTGGCAACACTGCATTGTGTATAAGCATCCAAACACACACACACATGCAGACCCACGTCATGTGAGATGAACTCAAACATCCAAAAGCGTCTGATGAAATAAAACACACGTGATGGAATTGATTGTATAAGGAGACATCCGGTGCACTGAGGAAGATGGATGTAAAGTTCAGTGTCTGTTGTGGCGTTCGATCCATATGTGCATATAACTGCTGGTTAGCGTTTGACTGCAGCTGGACTAAATCACATAATCAACGCTCATCTGTCCATCAACACAATCACATCTCAGTATAATAAGGCCTTCAATAACAAATGGCATCAGGAAGCGCTTAAGTGCGTTTAATCTTATCGAGTTGCAAAATGGATAAAAATTGTGCTTAAGTGTCATTTGCATGAATTTTAAGCAAATTTGACCTCAAATTCTCAACACTGCAATGCAAAAAATATATTATAAAAATGTTAAAGTATTTACACACTACTGGTCAAAAGTTTGGAATCAGTAAGATTTTTAAATGTTTTTAAAGAAGTCTCTTCACTCACCAAGGCTGCATTTATTTGATAAAAAAAAAAACAGTAAAAGAGTGAAACATTATTACAATTTAAAATGTATTGCTGTGATCAAAGCTGAATTTTCAGCATCATTACTCCAGTCTTCAGTGTCACATGATCCTTCAGAAATCATTCTAATATGCCGATTTGCTGCTCAAGAAACATTTCTGATTATTATCAATGTTGAAAACAGGTGTGCTGTGGAAACTGTGATACGTTTTTGTTTTTCAGGGTTTTTGATTAATAGAAAGTTCAAAAGAACAGCATTTAGGCTATTTAAAACCGAAATCTTTTGTAACATTATAAATGCCTTCACTCTTTTCACTGCATTTTAGATCAAATAAATGCAGCCTTGGTGAGCAGAAGAGACTTCTTAAAAAAAAAAATCTGAATTTTTTCAAACCTTTGACGTACATCATGGTCACATCTGTAGTACTGCCATGAAAACAGTGTCTAGTTCTTGTGCAGAATTGTTGCCTGGACACGAGTTTCACTCATTCTAGGGTTTTTCAGTGCATTCATTAGAGAACGACACATGACGTTTCTCTCTTCAGCTTCTGCTGATGGTGTTTGATTTGAGGAGCAGATGGATGACGAGAGCAGATGCAGCCATCAGCGCTCCTGTCGCCGTATGCACATCTCATTCAAACACCAGCAGAATGGACCGATTGCGTGTTAGCTCATAAGAACTCTATCGATTGGCCATGACGTCTTGACACTGACTGACACAGCAACTCATATGTAGTAGACAATATATATTTTTGGACTCTCGGTTCGGACTCTCTTGTAGAACACACTGGAAGTGGCTGGTTGATGGAAAACTAAAACACTGAAGCTCGTGCTGAAAACACTGAATGCATAAGGACTGTGTCCTCGTTTGGTTGGGTGCGCGGCGGTCATCGCAGTCCCATTAGACGACGACTAACTGGGACACATCCAGTGCAAATAGGGACAGGTAGGATGTGCGAGGTGTACTGCATTGCACTCGGTTTAAGGCGAAGAGTTTGCAGTGAAAGCAATGTAAACTTAAGGCAGCGTGAATCGGACGCTCTTTCCATCCGTCTGAGATGCAATATTCCCACTTTGTCTTTTTGCAGTGGCGTTTAGCACAGTGATTCCCAACCCGATTTGGTCTCAGTGTTTGGGAGGGATGACCACCAACGACTCGCCTGTCCGCGGCCGCCACATCAGTACCTGAGCGTCGTTGGCGTTGGGTTCGACCATGGCGTTGGGCGGGATGGCATCGTTCTTCCCCAGCACCTGCGGCTGCTCCTGCGCGATAGGTTCGCACAGCCTGGCTCTCTGTCCCAGTGGCTTGTTGGAATCCACCTCGATGTGCAGATGCATGCGCCAGCGCACCGTCTGCAGCACCAGGATCTCGCCCGACGCCTGGTTGATGGCCACCAGCCACGTGGTGAAGCTCTGGTCCCTCCAGATGCTGCTGAGCATGGGCACGTTGCTGTCGCTCACCGGGACGCCCCACGTCACGCTGGGGTAGAAGTTGTCATTCATGCTGACGGTGAACTTGGTGTCCTTCTTGGTGGGACCCACGATGGTGCAGGTCTCGGTGGTGTTGCCGTACCAGGGGTAGTTGACGCCATCCGAGTCGCTGATGGCTTGGATTTTTCCATCTTGGAGATCCGGCAGCTCCCAGCTGGACCTGTGGGACACACCGGAGGATGAGAGCATAACAATTGGGCTGAATGAAGTGTGCTGACTCTAGAGAGAGCAGAACACTAGTTGCCAAAGGTGAGAGATGCTTTTTATTCCAGCACTTAGAGGAAGTTAAACATAGAATGGTGATGTGAGTCTGACTGTCCATCAAAAGAGACCTTTAATAAAGAACAAACACACATCTCTATCGGCTCCAGCGACCACCACCATCATCATCATCTGACTCGCTGCACATCTCTGCTCTTGTGAAAAAGAAGTGCACTTCATTGTATTGAATGTGCACTTTTAGTGTACTTCAAATCTGAACAGCAAATTTTTCGAAATCTGTATTTGCATTTAGTATAATATTAATGAAATAAAAGACCACTTAATTGTACTTAAAGAGACACTTTCATGACTGTTTCTTAGCACAGTTTAGTACACTTTTAAAAAGTATACATTATAATAATGTCAAATTAAAGTCTGTGTAAAGCCATATTAAATGTGTTCTGAGTTTGTCACACCACAGAAAAATGTATTAACCAACCAGCCGAATTTGAATGAAAAAACAAAAACAAAAAAAACAACCAAGTAAATAAAATAAGTTAGCAAAATCTTGAAAAAATAAGCAGTATTCTCGGCTGTCAAATCCTGGGGGTGTGTCCACTGTCTGCACTGAAACCACGCCCACTCGCGAGAAAGCTGCCGACTCTCTCAACTGTCAAATACTGCTACATGCTGAATGAATGCAGCTTAATTGGATTTACACAGCCATACATGTTTGGTATTATGCATTTACATGACAAAGGCATAGCTTGCTAGCAAACTGTAGGCTGTAGTAACTTACGGTAATGACAGTAACTCGCAACTGAGCGGACAAACCACTGATGCTAATTATTAATTATAGTGTTAGGGGAGGGGTCATGCTCAGTGGCTCCAGTGCGTCATCGAGACAGGATTTCAGGCCTGCCCAAAAAATCTTGAACACAAAAATGGTGAAAAACTGTTTAACTGTTTAGCTCCACTGTTCAGTACTACATAGTTCACAGTCATCAGACGTGTTTTCAGCTATATATTTCTAACATTTATAATGTGTTTAGAAACGATTCTCTGAATTGCCTTTACACAGACCTTAAAAGTTTGACTTTAAACTGCTAATATTTTAAACTGCTATTTTAGTATCATTGTGGTACTATTATAGTTTTTATTAATATTTGATTTTATGTTTATATTTTCTGCTTACATGTTAATTTTATTTAAAGTTTTGGTAGTTTTGTTGTGTGTTTTTGTCATTTGTATTAGATTTTGTTACTTTTAAATATGTCTATATTGTTTTTATTCCTTTTTATTTCAGTTTTTGTTTTAGTTATTTTAGTACTTAAATTTAAGCTAAATGAAACATTTTTATAATTTATTTCAGTTAACATTTATTTTATTTCAAGTAACAAAAATGTTTTTATGGTTTAGTTTTAGTTAACTGTGTGTTATTCAACTAGTGTGTTGTTTAATATTACATTTAATATATGTTAAATGGGTAACACTTTACTTTAGTGTCCTTGTTCCACACCTTACATTTACTTACTATAGTAATAAGAGTAAATTACATATAATTACAAACAACTAACCCTAAACCAAACCCTAATCTTAATTATATAGTAAGTACATTTTGGTAATTAATATTGCTTAGTACTTATTTGTACAAATACACTGTAACAATGACACCTTAAAAGTGTAACCTTCAAAGTTACTAAACTACATCTTCATCATTATGTGTAATTACAAATATATTTAAATACATGACACACAAGTTTCAATAGAAATTACATTAACATATATTTTTAGTTTATCAGTCAGTACATTCAGTCAGTACATTCAGCAGTAACTTTAACAATATTTCAAACACAATTATGAAATTACATATAAAGATGTATTAAAGTCCTACACTTAAGTGGGTCAAAGACACTAAAGTTCAGCTAACTGCATTTAATATACTTTTAACCTATTATAAATTTTCATTTAATGGCAATTAACATGAGATTGAGCGTCTGAAAACATTATACATTCAGTTCACACTTAAATATATTATTTTTTAATAATATATTTAATAGTAATAGTACTTCATTGTTTGTCCGTTTTTGAACTCAACAGAATTCATGCTTTGTGTAAGAGCAGCGTGAGCATTCTGCTAAACATCTTCTTTTGTGTTTTACAGATGAATGATAGTCACACATGTCATGATGGTGAGCTGATTATCACACAAGTCTGATTGGTGTGATCTGTGCCTTTAAGCAGTGAAGGCAGTGATGCTGAGAGCGCAGCCTCTCTCAATGACCTTCACCGTACAGCACAATCAGCACAGATGCGGGTGACGGCGGGACAAACCGCAGAGCTTCTGGCCTATCGATTCCCTGATGCAGGAAAACCATGACCTTTCTCCCAGAACTCACGGATCAGCAGCAGAGCATCATGGGAAAGATCCACATGACATGAACACACGAGGGGCTTTGATTATCATCAGGGGAATAAGAATAGAAATACTTCGAGTGCGTGTGTGTGTGTGTGTGTGTGTGTGTGTGTTTATGCTGTATGTACCCAAATGCCCTCGTGAAAAAAACTGCTCAATATTCCTATTAAATAATGTCTAATGTGAGTTATGGTTGGGTTTTTTGGGAAGGTTTAGTGTTTACATGTGTGTCCTCAAGAACTTAAATATGATATAAAATATATAATAAATATAATTACTAGCATACTGAACTTATATTGTTTGATCAATTTGTTTGGTGTGTGGTGCTTTTGCAATTAAACATTTTCTTTTGTTTTTTTTTGTTTTTTTCATCGGAATATCACACTATTTGCATGTTTTCATGTATCAGCTTTTCATTTACTGGCTCATATATAGATCAAAACACATAAATACTTTCACATTGGGTTAAAACATTAGAAGTTAGTAATTATGCATAACTTGGTATTTTGCACAGCCGTAATAAGGAAATTACATTAGATGTTTAAGGTTAAATTCATAAGTAAATTTATGTTAACAGCACAATTTACTGACAACATTCAGACTGATCTCAGACACGTCAACTGATGTTCTCTGGAACAAAACCCACTTCAATGCCAATGGAAAGAACCGGCGTTGAATAACATGCCGTTTCCATCTCACACCACCATCAGTTCAGCTCAACACATGACAGGAAACATCTTATACAAACCCGCATCTTTCAGTTCACCTCTGAATATCAACCATTTAAGGCAAGATACAGGCAAAAACATTATTTTATTTCATGCACTGGTCGAACTTGAGGTTATTTTGCTTCCATATAATGTCTTCTTTCAGACTAGTGTAAAGAAAACATCCAAAATTCACATTTAAAGGTGTCAACGAAACACACAGCGTCTTCACAACATGGCGGCGGCGGCAACAGCCAGATTAAAAGTTACGTCTTCTTTCTTTGCGTGAACATTTGCAAACAAGAATTTGGCTTCATCCAGTGTTCAGATTTATGCATATTAGTGCTTTTTTTATTTTTATTTAGACTTTTAATTTGATATTTAAACAACATTTTAGAAAACGTAATACTTAAAAAAAAACGTAATACTAAACATTTGTTTTATTGTACTGTGATTAATCAACTGAGGAAAATTAAGGTGAGATCTATTAGTTAACATATTTACACTATTCACCTGGTGTGTCTTGCCTTAAATGAACCCTTTACTGTGGCTTTACTGTGTATTATTTTACTTTAGGTAAAATAATAATCTGTAATTGAAAGATTAATGTTGCTGACATTCATATAATCATGAAATATGAGCAGAACAGATGTGCTTCAGACAGTGAAGAGAGAATGTGACTCAAAAAAATGCAAGTGTTTTGTTTCCTGAGTGTGTAAATGTTCGACAGGACCGGCATTATCAGGCCAGAACAGCAGCTGAAATATCAGTCAAGAGCGTTACCAGACGATTCTGTGAGCGTGCTTTAATGTAAAGATCCTTCAGACGGACTTGTGTTTGCTGAAATGTCCTACACTCAGAAAATGCTAGCAAATTTACAAGTAATTGCAAAAAAAGGCAAGTAACACACTGAATTAAATCCAACATTTTGAAGTATAAAGACTGCAATATTATTTTCTTGTAAAAGTGCAAAAGGAGCAGCTGGAAAATTGCAAAAAGGAATTTGTCTGTTCAAACATGAAACTGAATAATGCTGTGATATCTGCAGTAAATGTGTGCGTATCACTTTACTGTCTGCAATAAACACTACTTTCAAATACGTTCTTGCAGTCATAAGAAGAATGTAAAGAGCTGCAATAAAGGATATGTTGTCATCGACTTACAAAGGAAGTGGAACTAGTGATTAAAAAACTAAGTATTATGATGAATGGCTGCTTTCACAAGTTTAACATGTCATTGCGTCATTTATTTTAAACGCATGATCATTTCTGTGCTCGTTTCCAGGAATATGTGGAGGCTGAGCATGTGCAGTCTCCAGATATCTTAAGACACCAAAGGGTTTATTTTTTGTTTCACAAAGGAAATAGGGCAAAGTGTAGCCTCTTCAACAGGAAGTAGGACAAGTGAAACCTCTAACGGTATGCAGGCTATGTAGTATCACCACACACACATACATACATACATGATCAAATCATCACGCTGTACACAGCACGGACAAAACGACAAGATGATCCTACATGCACATGTGTCTGTCACATATGTTCACACTGGTTTGGCAGTAACATTTAGACATATCTGAGCTTCCCAAATCACTTGTAGCATCACTGAAAACACTGAGAAGTTCAATTTAAAAGAACACACTGTTAGACATTGTTAGCTGTAAACATCAACATTGTTTACTAGGGATGGGAAGATTCCCCGATTCGCTCGGTGCATCGGCATAAAAAGTTAACGATGCGATGCATCGGTTTAAAAAGTGTGCATCGGCTACAAGTTGTCATTTATATCGCGATGCATCATTTCTAACATATTTGCATC